CCCCCCCCCCATTTTATGACCTTTCTTGCCACAGTTGTTAAGTGAATCATTGCATTTGTGCAGTTAGTCATATGGTTGTTAAATGAATCTGGCTTCTCCATTGACTTTGGTCGTCAAAAGGTCTCCAAGCTGATCGCATGATCCTGGGACACAGCAACCATCATAAATATAAGTTGCTCACCCCTGCCCACAACTCCCAGCATCTCCCAGAACAGGTTATGGTTGCTGGGCCTACGGGGAGTTGAAGTTCAACACCATTTGCAAGATCATACATTTCCTCTGTTACCTGGTTAGGTCATTTTGTCTCTTCAGTTTTTCATCTCAGGGGAGAATAACATTGTTTAAGTCATGTAATACCCTCAAACAAACAAACAAACAAACAAACAAACAAACAAGCAGACAATAATGTCTAGCAGGAATTTCACAGAATAATTTTTACGGGGATTAGATGCACAGAGTAAACTGTCTTGCCATTCTGCATATGTATACTGCATGCCCATCATGGTATTTTCCTTTCAGAATTAATAACATTATGCAAAAAGAAAAAAGAAAAGTTATCACAAAGAAAATAAACAAATAAAAGCAAGAGACAAGGGAGGGGGAGAGAAAAAATGTTATATTTGTTATTATGCCTGTCCATATCTTGCTGAAATTTTCCTTGTTTACCTTACATTGATGCTCCAATTAAATTTGCCTCTTTTTTTTCTTTAAGTTTCTCATTTCTTTTTCAGATAACAGATTAACAGAGTTGAAAGGGACCTTGTAGGTCATCTAGTCCAATCCCCTGACCAAGCAGGAGACCCTACACTATTTCTGACAGATGGCAGTCCAATTTCTTCTTGAAAGTCTCAAATGATGGTGCTCCCACAACTTCCAAGGGCAAGCTGTTCCATTGGTTGATTGTTCTCACTGTCAGAAAGTTTCTCCTTATTTCCAGGTTGAATCTCTCCTTGTTCAGTTTCCATCCATTATTCCTTGTCTGGCTTACAACTGCTTTGGAAAATAGCTTGACCCCTTCCTCTCTGTGGCAGCCCCTCAAATATTGGAAGACTGCTATCACTCTCCCCTGGTCCTTCTCTTCACTAGACTAGCCATGCCCCCTGTAACCGTTCTTCATATGTTTTAGTCTCCAGTCCCCTAACCATCCTGGTTGCTCTTTTCTGTACTTTTTTTAGAGTCTCAATAACTTTTTTTATAGTGTAGTGACCAAAACTGGATGCAGTACTCTATGTGTGGTCTTACTAAGGCTTTATAGAGTAGTATTAGTACCTCACTTGATCTTGATTGTACCCCTCTGTTGATGCAATTTAGGATTGCATTGGGAATCTTATTAAAATTACCCATCAGTGGCTTTCTCTGGCTTCCTCTTCCTCTCAACCTCTTTCCTCCTAGTACAGTTTAAATTATGCTTACATGCTACAGCACTGTACAATTGCTATGTGGCATACTGATTACATTTGTGGAACACAGCATTCATGAACACTCATTAAGGCTGCCTGCCTGTTCATGGTCTGGAAAATTAACATATATATTCTAGCTTAATTTTACTATTAAGGTAATAAAGATATTAATTAAAAAGAGGGATAAAACACCTACATTAAAACACCCTTGTCATCCAGCTCTGGATTGATTTGCTTTGTAATGATAGCTTTTTCTGCCCCTTCTTTCACACAATTCACAGAAGCTTTTGTGAGTGGAAGTCTCTTTTCATTACTTTTAATATATCGCTAATGTCTTTCATTTTGGCTTCAAGTAACTCAAGGATAGAATTATTTTCACAGCTCATTTAGGCAACATGTGAAACATATAATGAGTCTGATGTCAATGCAGAAAAGAATTATGCAGGCAATGGTTTTCCAACTGAAACTCTATGCATGTTCAAATTAGACTTTGAAGATGCAAGATAGAAAGAGTATTGATGGAGACAACTGTTGAGTTTACCATGGATAGCAGGACAAGCAATTAGACAATAAAACAAATCTATCTGATTTTCTCACTTGACACACAAATGACCTAGCTCAAATTATTTTGGGCACATTATATAAAATCTATTGTGAAGTCAATATGGTCAAGAAAAATGTGGAAGGAAAAAGGAGAGAATGACCAACAGCAATGTGGCTAGCCTTCATTTCATTGCAGCTGTGATGGTTATACCATTAGAAGATTTGAAAAAACAGGTTGGGGATCATTCTGAAGAAAACGTATCTGTGTGATGTCTATGAGTTAACACTGACTTAATAGCACATAGTCATAAGTATTCTTAGGGAGAATATATCTCTTTCCCCTATTGCAAAATAATACCACATCCAGGACAACATGATATAAAACAGTGGTATCTCAGAGTTTCTTGATAATCTGTGACATGATGAGAACTAAAACTGATGAGTACCAACTAAATTGCATGACTTACTAAGTGACCCCCCTATTTTGACTGGAAGAAATATCAAGTCATGACGTAGCCAACCTCAGCAAGTTCTCTGTTGACTACTGGGAGAAAGATAATTGCCAGGGCAAGATTTCTGCTCAAAACACATTGAATACTGAATCCAGTAGAGTGCTGAAGTAGGACCTTTTATTAAAATTGTGCTGTTGTCGCATTGAGAGCAACAACAGAAAGTAATTAATTCCACCCAATTCATGACTCACCATATATAGTGAATCACACCAGAAGGAAACTGATGGACAATGTTCTCTTTTCTCTGCCCATCACATGAGGAGTAGCTTTTGAGAGGCCATATTGTGCAGAGCCATAATGACTGTCTGAGAGCCATCTCAAAGCATGTCTTCTCCAAAGCACAGAGTTTTGCATGTCAATTCTCAGCCATTTAGTCTTTCCAAAGCAGAAGGTTGACAAACATTGTTCAAGAGTCATCTGTGGTAGCATCCGAGAAAGTTGTTTTCCTCTCCACTGGCATAACCATATGGAGCTTTATTGTCTACCATAATTTTCCATCTCTAAAAACAGGCTTTTGCCTGAAAATGTTCAGCCTGCACTAAATATGCTTGGCTTTAATGTGGCTCTATGCTCTTTAACAGCTTGCACATGCTCTTCTGGCAAACATATTGAATTTCTTTTCAGAGTAACTTAAATGGCATTTGTTATTCCGATGGAGTACATGGTGTAATGTTTATGCATCCAATTATTTCTTTCATGTCTTTCATGGTCCTTGGGATTTTTGAACCTACTATCCCACTGTTTCCCCTATCAGGAAAGCAAAAAGTTTGTTCAGGGAGATGACAGTTGGAAGAAATGTAAATATAGTAGGCATTTAGCTGCTGTAAGTGCTTGGATTTTATTGTGAAATAAATTCTGACTGTGCCTTGGTTTTTCCTCAGACATTTCACATTGTTAGTTTAGAACACTGATTGGCAACTACACATCCTATAAACCTAGCAAACCCTCATCAAAATCTCCAATATCATTATAATAAAAATAAATTATGACACAATAAAAGAGTTAGGTTTGTGAAAGTGTTTGTTTTGTTTAGATCTAGATATTTTTTTTTGTCTAGTTGTGACTGGTCTTGAATTGTTAGCTTCCACATCAATTTAAGAACTATTGGTTCACCCAGGCTTACATTTACATTTCATATAATAAATAAATATAGGTATCATATTTTTTAAAATATTCGTTCCTTATCCCAATCAGACCTCATTCAACAGGCAACAAGATCACTAGAGCATAATAAAACTCCCTTTTTATAACCCTGTCATCCCTTAATTCGGGGTAGAGTTGGGACAACTGGATGGAACTATGCATTTACTGGCCGAAGGCAAATAATTTCTTAAAAATACACATATAGTATAAATAAACAACCACATATTCTATAAACCTAAAAAATACTTTGTGAAGGTCTCTAAAGTCATTATAATGAAAATAGATTATGGCACAATAAAAGAATTGGGTTTGTGAAAGAGTTAGGTTGGTTTTAGATCTACAGAAAATTTCTTGTCCAGTTGTGACTGCTATTAGCTTTCACATCAATTGAAGAACTATTGGTTCACCCAGGTTATTGCTTCATGTTTCTGTGTCATATATTTATTTGTTAATTATACTTTTTACCTATCCCAACCAGACCCTATTCAGTGGGTTACAAGATCACTATAACTTAATAAAAATCACTTTTTATGACTGTCATTCCTTAATTTGGGATAGAGTCAGGATGGAGCTGAGCATTTACTGGCCAGATACACATTAAAATTAAATTTTAATTAAAACTAAAAATTACTGGCCAGGTTCACATTAAAAAAATAATTTCTGAAAAATACACATATATAAAAAGCTAAAGTACAGTACTAATTAAAAAGTAGATAGTAGCAATGACTGTTCATGTGCCCATCTAATAAGTCACTATGGAGCAATTTATAAAATGCTTACAAAGTGAGGATTGATTATATCTTATTTGCCATCTTGCTGTCATTGTTGCCATCATCAATTGTTATGGTTTTAATGTTACATCTGACACAATGTTGATTTTAATTTGTATGGTTTAATTGGTTATTTATTGTACTTGTAATAGTATTGTCTATAATGCACAAGTGTGAAGTTTAGGGATAAGGTCTCACCATATTTGAAGAGAATCTAATTCCATTGAGGACCAGTATACTGCACGAGTCAAAAAGAGGGCTGTGAAAATATTTACAGACTCCTCATATCCTGGACATAAACTGTTTGAACTCCTACCCTCAAAACAACGCTATGGAGCACTGCACATCAGAACAACTAGACACAGTTTTTCCCCAAACACCATCACTCTGCTAAACAGATAATTCCCTCAACTCTGTCAAACTATTTATTAAATCTGCATTACTACTACTATCAATCCTCCCATCCTTCCTTTAACCCATCTCCTCACACTTATCACTATATGACTGTAACCGTGTTGCTAGAATCCTAACTATTTTTATTGACTGTTTCTTAGTATGATTTGATTGCTTATTGTACCCTATGACTATTATTAAGTGTTGTACCTTATGATTCTTGACTCTTGATGAATGTATCTTTTCTCTTATGTACACTGAGAGCACATGTACCAAGACAAATTCCTTGTGTGTCCAGTCACACTTGGCCAATAAAGAATTCTATTCTATTCTAAAAGAGAATGTTAAAAACCACAGTCTAAAATATGGCATAGTCATTTGGGTATAGATGTGTGTCGGTTTAAGGGATAAAGTGTGACCATCGGCCATGCTGGATGGAGATTGTGTGAACTAGCATTGTTGCTAATTTTTTTAAAGTTTTAGAATCAGAACTATTTATAAGCTTTTATCTTTCAATTTATTTTGGACTATGTACTTCATTTTTTTCCCCTTATTGGCTTTTTAAGTATCTTAGCTGATGAAGATTTTTTGTTTACTCAAAAGCTTGTAGGATATAGATAGTCCTTGACTCATGACCAGAATTGAACCCAAAATTTCTGTTACTAACTGAGATAGTTAAGTGAGTTTTGCCCCATTTTATGAACTTAGTCGTTAAGTGAATCACTGCAGCTGTTAGGTTAGTAACCCAAGTTGTTAAGTGAATCCTTTTTGCAAAAGGGGAACACATGACCCTGGAATAGTACAAACATCATAAATATGAACTCGTTCCAAGTGCCGAATTTTGGTCGTGTGACCATGGGGATGTTGCAACGGTCCTTAAATGTGAAAAATGGTCCCAAGTCTTTTTAGTACCTTTGTAACTTAATGGTCAGTAAATGAATGCTTGTAAGTCAGGGACTACCTGTATTTTGAAGTTCTTTCATTGGGTTAATAAAAACACTGCAATTAATATGGACCCAAGAAGTCTCAAGATCCAGATGGATCTCGACAGATTAGAACACTGGGCCATATTTAACAAAGTGAAATTCAATGTAGAGAAAAGTAAAGTCCTACATTTAGGCAAGAAAAATCAAAAGTACACATGTAGACTGGGTGAAACCAGGCTCAATAGCAGTAACTGTGAGAGGGATCTTGGAGTCTTAGAGGACAACCAGCTAAATATGAGCCAGCAGTGTGCAGCAGCAGCCGAAAAAGTCAATGCAATCCTAAATTGCATTAACAGAGGGATACAATCAAGATCAAGTGAGGTAGTAATACTACTCTATAAAGCCTTAGTAAAAAGATGTTGAGACTCTAGAAAAAGTACAGAGAAGAGCAACCAGGATGATTTGGGGACTGGAGACTAAAAGATATGAAGAACGGTTACAGGAACTGGGTATGGCTAGTTTAATGAAAAGAAGAACCAGGGGAGACAGGATAGCAGTGTTCCAATATTTGAGAGGCTGCCATAGAGAAGAAGGGGTCAAGTTATCTTCTAAAGCACCTGAAGGCCAGACAAGGAATAATGGATGGAAAACTGAACAAGGAGAGATTTAACCTGGAAATAGGGAGAAACTTTCTGACAGTGAGAACAATCAACCAATGGAACAGCTTGCCCTCAGAAGTTGTGGGAGCGTCATCACTTGAGACTTTCAAGAAGAGATTGGACTCCCATTTGTCAGAAATGGTGTAGGGTCTCCTGCTTGGGCAGGGGGTTGGACTATGACCTACAAAGTCCTTTCCAACTCTGATTATCTGTTATCTGGAATATATCTTTAAGACTTGGAAAATACAGCATTAATTACTGATATAATCAATATTAAAACAGCATCCTTTCTATATCCTATACCTAGGACCCTATGATTTAATACTTTTTTAAAAAGTGGAAAAAAATTCTGTGGGGGTATCAGCTTTTCAAAGGAAATTAATGGAACAACAAAAAAAATGGGATTATTTTTTCCTGCTCCAAACTGAATCAGTACAAGTACCTAATCAATCCATAGCCAGTATGGGATCAAACCTAGTATGTCATTTGAATTGGCTTTCAATTTGAACAAAGATATCTTTCTGGAGTGAATTAGTTAATAAATGTGAGAAAGAAAGCAGTCAACCTGTTTGGCAAATGTAGTGTGATGAAATAAGATTGCATAGAAATTAATCCAGCAATAAGGATTGTTTTATTGTTTGTAATAGTCATGTCAGAAGGAAACACAGTGCTATTCCATTTTAAAATTCATTACTTTACTTCCCTACACATCATACAGAAAAAAAAACTGTGTGCTAAATAGGGAACAAATCGTAGCCATTAAATAAGTATGTTTATCGTTCAAATGCACCAGACTCCTAGGGATAAAGTTGTGTGCCTTTGAAAATAAATGTTGATTGAACATGAAATTACAGTGCAAAGACATATTAAGGAGCTGAAGTTAATTATATAGCGTTAGAAGAAATTATTATAAATTAACAAAATGGAAATTTATTTAGGAAAGGAAATTGAGAAATGTTACTGATGTAGCAACAGAAGTGGGGGGGGGGGTTGGTCCATAATTTACATTCCATAATGTGTGGTGCACCTGGAACTGCATCAAAATGTATCAAGTGCAAAAAAGAAGTAGATTTGTGACTTCATAATTTGGGGCTCTATGGCAAGATCACAAAGCTTGGATCCATCTTGGAGGCAATCTGGATGAATAGTTGACGTTCTCTGCTAGCTCTAGATTTGCACAACTATAGACATGGCCATGATTATAGCACCATCCACTTCATGGATAACAAGACAAGATCTCAATAACATTCCAAATTCATTCGAATGTATTCTCTGAAGATTTAACAACTATGATAACCTGGAATGTAAGATATGTATATCTTAGTGAGGGTAATTAAAAAAAAAACCAATACAACTCTCATCAGCTCATTAAATAATACTGGGTAAGTTTCTATCCCAGGACAGGGGAAAAAGAAACAAAGAAAGTTCCATCTTTAGGACTGTATGCACTCAGTGTGCTGTATACCAAATGTCTCTGCAGTCGATTAACATTTTGTTTGGGAATCCTGTCATATAACCACTTGGTCATTTAATTCCTCACATTAAGTCTAAGAGCTATTAGTTTTGTTTTGTTCCTAATGTGGGCAACTTTGAGATGAGAGAACTTCCTAGAAGTTTTAGCAATGTTGGAATCAGCACTGTCTTCTTCATCAGCAATGCTGTCTTTGATGGATCTGCAGAGAAATTGACATTTTTGATGGTTCAGTGTTGGTCTGTAAATGTCACGTGCATGTTTTATTGGCAGAGGCATATTTATGTTCTCTAATAGAAGGCTAGAAAATATCTCCTAGAACTCCAGGAAAGAATTGAAAGCTTTAGGAGAGTTGTTTTTATAATTATTTTCATCACCACTGCCTCTTAAAATTCTAAAAATAAAGACATTGCTTGAATCCAGTTATATCTGCCATAACACATAAAAATAAATACAAATACACATTTTGCATCAATATAACAAGAAGAAAAAGATTGGAAATTTTATAATTTAACTGATCAGTTCTACATTTTTTCCTTTAGGAAATTTCCTAATATTAAGATTAAGGGAAGTTTCAGATGGATTACTTGCTAGATGGACTTTTGAAGGATTTGCCCCCTTGAAGTTCTTTGCATAGCACCATGGCTTCTTTGCTTTTAAGAGCAAGGGGAAGCAGTCCTGTGTATTTTCTTCACTCCAATTCAGATCCCTTTATAGCCTTCTAAAAAGGAGACTGTTTTCTCACTGCTTCAAGTCCCACACCAGACAGCTGTAGCAGATGAATTGTGTGGGCCATCCTGTAGGACATATCAAAGCTCTCAAACCTAAAATGCCTCCAACCATTTGCCAAATGTGCTGTGTCTCAGAGAAGAGAGGAGTTGCAAGTCCATATGATTCACCCAAATCTATGACTTTCATAATGTATTAAGGGTGTTCCAGGCTGGGCAACTTTGGGGTATACTGTGGGAAAAACTGAAGCTTCCCAACTAGAATCATTTCCACCAAGAAGCTTTCTACAATAGTAGTGGTGTGGAGCAGTTTAAGGTCATCCAACTTCTTGGATGAGAATGGAAACATCTTCAAAGAAAAAACAAGAATTCCAGTTGCCTTTTGAAAAAGCACTTTTGGGACCTCCATGACCTGGATGACTGAGAATCTCCACAAATATTACAGTTTCTTATTATCTAGTAGCATTTTTATTCAATACAAGGTTACAGTTCTGAAGAAGATTTTTGGTTGAGAAGCTAAACATCTTCAAGGAAGAAACAAGAAAGTCCAGTTGTCCTTTGGAAAAAAGCACCTTTAGGACAAGAAATTGTATTCAAGTTGACTTTTGAAATTTGGTTTGCCTCCAAATGTTGGCAATCAGTTTCATGGTGATTTTAGTGGAAAATAAAGAAAGGGGTTTGGAGAGAATTTTGGCTTGCAGAAGAGAAAACTCCCCTGCTATGAGTCTGAGGACTCCTGGACATGTAACTTTTTAAATGAAATTCCTGGGCTCCCTTTTGTCAAATGAGAAGCTGACTTCTTTTGCATGCTACTTTTGATCATACCTATTGCATCTCAGGCCAGATCAGGTAGTTTTAAATTAGTAGTGTGATAAATGTGATCATAAAAACATGATACGACGTGTCATGTGACATTCACAGAAGAAACTGGGTATGGTTTTTTATTGTTTTCTTGATTGGTTTTTTTTGCTCTGGGCTGATCAGTAATCATAGACAAAGTAATCTATTTCTGCAGAAAAAGAAATACAGGAAAAGAATACAAAATCTGAGGCAATATTGTCAGTAGCATTCATAGGGAAGCCGAAGTAATAAAAGTGTTGGTTTGGCCAGGAACAAAATTTCTGCAACAGGATCTTTTAATAGCAAAGACTCATGCTCAATAAAGATTTCATAAGTAACCCAAATTCCAGCATTGTTTTTCTTTAAAACACTTTCCAGTTTACTTACTATCTATGTACAATCATCCCACATAACATTCTCCTTAACAGGTAGCCTTATACTGCTGTACTTTCTACTCTACACCTCCATTCAAATTTCTTATGCTGCTTCAAATTTTTCAGGCCCTTCCCCAATCCACTTGGAACCCAAAACCACTTGTGTGTGTGCCTAGGAAGAAGATACTACAGATGCTGCTTGGATTAGCTTGCTCCTGCTGTTGTTCTAGCTCTGTAGCCTTGTGCATATTTCACAAGCTGCCAATCATTAAAAGTTGGCGGTACCATGGCGGAACCCATCACAATATTCTTGTTTGCTAAGAGGCTGTGAACATCTGGGCTACTCTGGAATACTGGCATAAATTGCCACTGTTTGAAGCAGCATCCAGATCACCTTTGTCCTGCTTATGATTGAAAATGACATAGCAGTTCCTATGGTTACTAATGTACAGTCAACAACTTCTGAGCTTTCTGAATTGTTTGATGCCACTCCACTGTTGTTAACTACTCCTGGCTGCCACTTTTATGTTCTTACAATATCTTTAAGCAGTGGTGGGGTTCAATTTTTTTTACTACCGGTTCTGTGGGTGTGGCTTGGTAGGCATGGCTTAGTGGGTATGGCAGGGGAGGGATACTGTAAAATCTCTATTCTTGCCCCACTCCAGGGGAAGGTTACTGTAAAATTCCCATTCCCTCCCTCCCCACCCCACTAACCTGCTTTCCAGCTCCATTCTCCAGTGCAGGGCAACAAAAGAAGACACAGCCGATCAGCTGGGACTCAATGGGAGGCAGAGAATAGATGGGTGGGGGCAGGTCAGACATTTGCCGTTTCTCTGAACTACTCAAAATTTTCGTTACTGGTTCTCCAGAACTGGTCAGAACCTGCTGAATACCACCTCTGTTTTTAAGGCTTTAGCTCTTTTCTGCATCTCTTGTTATTTGTTGTTGTTTTCTCCTTTCTTCTCCTTCTACATTCTTTTCTTCTATCCTTTCATTCTTTTCTCTTCCTCCTCAATATTTTTACAGGCTATACCATAACTGACATGTAGAATCACCAGCTAATGGAGTGGGGATGAGGGGAGGGGGTTAAAGATGCTTGCCAGCATGAAATTGTTCCAGAGGAATAAACATCATAGACTAGGGAAGCCTTATCCATTGGGTCCCAAGGGAATGCAACCAGTCTGATGAGATTCTTGTAACATGGCCAATCAACAATAAAGAAACTGCTTTGGTCTATTCCAAGGGTGGGCTGCTGGGGGTTTGCAGGAGTTTGGGAGAACCCCTAGCTAAGATTCTTCACAGTTTGGAGAACCCCCAAATCCCACTCTTGGCTGGCCTCTCCCACCCTGCCCCTCCCAGGAGTCCCCATGAGGGCCATTTGGGATGCAGGTAAGAGCAGGATGCACACGGAGGCTCCGGGAGGGCAAAAAATGGGCCTCCCAGAAGTTTGGGAGCCCATTTCCAGATTACAGAGAGCTTCCAGAACCTGGGGAGGCTGTTTTCGCCTTCCCAGAGGCTTGAACAAAGCCTCCTGATCCTGGAGAGGGCAAAAAAGGCTCCGCCTCCCCACCATGGTGCAGGAGGCCGACTAGGCCATGTCCACCATGGCTACGTCCACCCAGGCAGAGAACCCCTTGCTAAAATTTTTGAAGCTCAGCCCTGGTCTATTCACAAAGTTGTCCTGGTTCCTTCCACTTGACAGTTAGGCTATTTTTAAAAGAGTGGCTCCTTAAACAGGTGTCAGGCCATCAAAGGGTACAGGACATTCTTTTACCTCTATTCCTCTCTATTCCTCTATTCACGTGCCATTTTAAAAGGGCTTATTGTAATTATTTCATAAGTTCATTTTTAAAGAATGAAAGTATAAGGCATAATTAGTTCAAAATTATTTCATTCGTTTTTAATAAAAGCTTCTGTTGACATTATATGAAAGGTCATAAATGATCGGTAAAAATGAAATGAAATTCAGAAAGAAAGAGAGGATCTTATTATTTTGTTACAATCAACTTTCCTTACACAAAGCAGAGAGGAAAATAATTTGTTGTCCACAACTTTAATTATTCACTTATTCAGAAATTGAATTACAGAATTTTAAACATTCTGAGTTTTTGGAGAGAAAAAAACAGTTCATTTTTTGCAATAGATTCTTGATGTTTTATTTTACACAATAGCAAAAACACAGTTGCACAGATTTGCTATCATTAAAAAAAATCAATTTTTGACTTCATTTTTGATGAAATAAATTAAGCGGTGTGTTTTTTAATATAATACAGGTGAATCCAAACAAAACTGAGTTCTGTTTGTGACTCTTTTACTTAAATATCAAAAATATATCAAAAAGGTAAGCAGATGGTACATTTAATTTTTATTTTTATTTCTGTGTTTTAAAAACATGTTTTAGCACAGAATGAAATGAGTAAATACAACAGAAGCACTTTAAGATTAAAAATATGTAAAATATGTGCAGGAGAAACTGAGAGAAATAGTTAAATAATATTAATGGACCAGGTGTTGTGTTACTGTGCAAAAATAATTAAAATACAGTTGCATAGCCAAAAATATTATTAATATTAGAGCATCATTAAGTAGTGTAAGGTATATAGTTAAAAAAGTAATAAATAGGAAAAAAAGCAATACATGTAAATTTGTGCTCAATCCTCATAATGACCTATATTTTGCTTACTTAATAATTTCCAAGAAGAAGACTTGTCATTGTTTATTTTTAAAATGTAGGCAATAAACCAGATTAATTCAACCTTTAGTATGCAAGGAGTTTAATACCATGCAGATGAGCCACAGGTATTGGCTAAAGGTCATCCAAACAGAATCAATAATCCTACATAAAATATGACTACAGCTGTATTTACATGGAGCACCTTAATGTAGTTAAGCTTCTCCAGTCATGTACTACCCGTATGTATAAAATTATTATGGTTCCTTCTCACATGCCTGCAATGTTGGGAAATGTGAGATACAGAGGAAATATTATATTTCATTAGTTGACTCATATATAAATATTTTATGTCCCAAGAAGAGTTAGATCAAGAAAAATCTCCTACTTGTTACAAATTCACTTTGAAATAAATAAGTATATTCAATCTCTCAAATTAGTCCTTTGTGATAGTCATATCACTTCCTGGTCTGGTTTGCCAGTTCCCGTGCCCTCCTATAGAGAGTCACTTAGAATGGCCCAACCCATATGCTTTATAGAGAGACCTTAAGTTTCTAGCAATCTGACAGATTGTATTTTTTAAAAAAAATATTGCATCTGGTTTATAATTCTGAAATACCACAGGCTTAAAAACAATAATAGTGGACACACAGCTCTGAAATAATGTGCTTTGTTTGCTAAACATGACCATTTTACGGTTGATGGAGATCTCAAGTACATATCAGTTATAGTGGAAAAGACACACACACACACACACACACACACAGAGA